TAACTATACAGTCAAAAATTATAAAATTTATTTATATTATGTTTTAATACTTATTTTATTTCTTATATTTTTTTAAAAAAATTTTTTATTAATATATTTTGGTTTTATTATTACTAAATATCTTTATTTTTTTTTATTAATTATTATATGATTTATAATAATAGCCAATCAAAATTTTTTAAAAGTAAAAATTTAATAAAAAAAAAATTTTTCAACAATAATAAAACTTTAAAAATTATATATAAAATTTTTTTAAAAAAAAATAAAAAAAATAAAACTAGTATTAATATATAATATATATGAATTTTATAATTTTTGGTTATATAATTAAGGATTTTAAAATTATCAAAGTTAAAATTTATAATAAAAACATAGTAAATGAACTTAAATTTTTGAAAGCAACTGTATTATATATTAATACTTATTAATATATTTTAAAGTTTTATTATGATTAAATATTTTTAATTATTATTTGATTTACAATAATAGACAATCAAATTTTTTAAAAGTAAAAATTTTATAAAAAAAAAATTTTTTTTAACAATAAAACTTTAAAATTATATATAAAAATTTTTTGAACAAGATATAATAAATAAAATTAATATTAAAATATAATATATTTAAAAATTGATAAAATTGAAATTTATAATAAAAACATAATAAATAGACTTAAACTTTTAGAAGTGATAGTATAAATTAAGTATTATTTTTTAAATTTAATTTAAAGTATTTAATTAAAACTTTATTTTATTTAATTTAAATTAATTCAATAAACTTTTTAAAAAAACAAAGTAATATAAAATTATTAATATTTTTTAATTAAAAGATAAATATATTAATTAAAATTTCTAATTATTCTTAAATATAAAATATAATTATTTTAAAATTTTTGATTAAATCAATAATAATAATTTTTATAAATTAAAAAATTATATAATGTAATATAATATAATAAAAAAACTTGTTTACACAAATTTAATTAATATATTTCAAATTTTTTTTTGCTTTATATGTATAAAATTAAATATTTGTATAACGTAAGTGCAAGTAATATTTCGATATTTGTAATACGCAGGTATCGAATGCAGAATTTTCAGACAATTTTAATGGCGCAAACAATAAATTTTATTTTTGTCCTACTTCAGGTCAAAAGTTTAAAATAAGAAAAGTCTCGTAGAAACGAATGGCTTTGTGCTTTGTCATTTCACATTCTCATGTTGTGTGAATTGTTTGTGGCTTGGATGGTAAAATTAAAACAGAAAGTGATTATAGAATTCTATGGTTTGTAATTGCACGAAATACGTAAGATTTTTAAAATTGTCAACCTGTCAAACCGTGATGTCAGCGAAAATTAGATGATTTACACAGTACAAATTGGTGCCCGAGTCGTACTCATCATCAAAGAAAATAATCGGTGACATCTTTTTCAGTTAAACTTTTTTCCAATAGCAACCAGTTCTGTTAGCCTTTTCTTCCCAACTCTTTCACTTTCCTTTGCCATCAAATTTTATATATACAGTATAATTTTTTTTTTTCAAAAAAAAAAAAAAAAAAAAAAAAAAAAAATTTACATTATCTGCTTCAACGGTAAAGAACTAAAAAACTTTTGCTACATATTTATAAATTTGTTTTATAATATATTAAAGTTTGTTTATATAATAATTTATTATAGATATGGCGCAACTTGAAGACTTTGCGCAAGGTAATAATATGTTCTGTTCATATTTTACCTTTGGATCGGAAGCCGTTAATAAAAAAAAAAATATTTGTTTAGCCGCACGTTTGGAGACATATAGGAGCCGTCAGGAAGCCGCAAAAGGGTTCGAAGATGACCTTGAATTTTGTCCTTCGTTGTCAGCAGAAGAGGTAGTTTCGATGTGGACTGATGTTTCCAGCACTTTTCGTGTTTATTAAAATTTTATCTTGCTTGTAAAATATATAATATTTAACGACAAATGCTTATACGCTTGTTAAACTAGCTTGCTGAAATTCGACGTCAAGTCTCTCAATTGATTAGTCATGGTCAATCTAAACCGAATTCAACACCACCACAACTCAAGCGACCCATACCCATCATCGACCCAAACAACAAAACACCTCTTAACATAACACCACTAAAATCATCTGGATCGTCCGCATCAACTGCGGCACAAGTTCCGATGTCAACATTTTTTTCGAGACCCGGTTCCCCATTCTTGTATGGCAGTAATTACTCACCAACATACCAATCTCTTTCAACCACTGTCAAAGTGACAAAATCAATACCTATCATCGACCCTACTAGCGGGAATATCGTTAACATGCCCAATGGTGGAGCAACAAACACTAATAACGGTAATAACAATGGGTTTGGAGGTTTCTATAGTGATATTTCTGTGCGGTAAAAAAAAAAAAAAAAACCAAAAAAAAAAAACAATGAAGCATTACGAATAGGCTCTAAAAAATCTCCTTCATGAACACTCATCTGTCATGCTATAACATAGATGTTACGAACAGACTTATCATGAACGGCTCACATTTCTTTTTTTTTTTTTTTCTTTTGATCTGTTTTCTTTTGCATTCAGCACATGAATTAATTAGTTCATTGTTGCGTATCTATATTATTTTCTAATTATGTATCTGCAAAGATTTTGTATAGGCTATAAGGTGTTGTTTCTATTATGGCGGTTTCGTTTATAATAGATAATGAATACCATCATGTAATAAAAAATCAATTTTCATTATTATTAATTTGATGGACTTTCCTGAATATCCAGAAAGATTACTTCGGTTTTGTGTGAGATGATATTTAGAATCAATTTATTTAACTTAAAAAAGTCTTGTGTTTGCAATAAATAAAAGTAGTGAATTTTCTAATTTTCCTGATGTTTATGTTTTAGCAATTATAGAATAGTTATATATTCATTAAATATATTGATTTCTCACATCTACCTTTATTAATACAAACTAGCGAGTACGCTCGGGTTTTGCTCTGGGTTATTTTAGTTTTATTTTTTAAAAAAATTATATCAAATTTAGTTATATTATTTTTTATTATTTTAATAATATTTTAGTTAATTTATAATGAGCATACCTGTACTATATATTGGATTTAATAGAATCATTTTATTCTTTTAAATATAAATAATTTGATTTTAATAAATAATTTTAATATTTTATTTTATTTTTATAACTAGCTTATCTTATATTTATTAATAAAAAATTATATTTAAAAATAATAGAAATTATATTTTTGATATATTATCTAATAAATAGTACAAAAAATTAATTATTTACATAATATAACTTAAGTTTAAAGCAACTATAATTATAAAAATAATAATTACAATTTTGATAATATAAAAAATTTAAATAAAAAATTTATTTATTTATTTTTTTTTTAATCATCTGTCAGGTTAGTTAAGTGTGTTTTATTAAACATTTGTAAGTTGTACATATTAAATAAAGCGCTAAAGCTAAATCTCTAACTAACTCACTCGTTTTGGTTGTATTACCTCTCTAAGTATAATTTCGGGAGTGATTTATCGCTCCGTTAGAGGTTCAAGTAAAGACCCTTTCAACTTCTAACATCATTGCCTGTAAGTCACTACTGCAGATCACTCTTTTGAACTCTGACAAGAATCAAAACCCCAACTATTTCATACCATACTTTACTCCATTTAGTAGGATTTCTTCTAACTTCTTGTTTTCAACTCTTTTTTCTTCATATATTAGTTTTTCACTAGATCGACTTTCTATAATGTTACTCTTTCT